ATTGTAATTCAGCAATATGTGGGGGGACAGGACACAAATTTCCCAGCCCTGGTATAGATATTAATCCAATAGCAATCCAACTGAAAATTAATGTGAAATTTTTTTCTCTCAACATCATTACTATCTTTCTTATGTTTGTCCTACCATATTTCCTGAGAAAATTTTATTTCATTACTTCTTAACAGGTGTATAGGAATGAGCCTCACAGTTGCCAAGCATGCACATCATAGCTCATTTATTTAAATTTTATTTCAAAATTAGTCATGAAGGTTTTTCATGATCTTTTCTACAACACCAGCAACAACAAATCCCATTTTGCAATATTTCTTACTTTTAACCCTATTCCTTGGATTCCCTTGATACAATTCTAGATTCATTAAATTTTTACAAACAATTGACAAGCAAGACAGGTTCAGTCTACAGGACTAAACATGAGGATATACATATGTGATGTAATTACATTCACTTCCCAGTAGCCTATCCGCAGACTCCATGTAAAAAGATCTGGAGACTCTAGAAAGCGTGCAGAAAAGAGCAACAAAGATGATTAGGGGACTGGAGGTTAAAACATATGAAGAACAGTTTCAGGAACTGGGTATGTCTAGTTTAATATAAAGAAGAACTAGGTGAGACATGATAGCAGTGTTCCAATATCTCAGGGGTTGCCACAAAGAAGAGGGAGTCAAACTATTCTCCAAAGCACCTGAGGGCAGAACAAGAAGCAATGGGTGGAAACTAATCAAGGAGAGAAGCAACTTAGAACTAAGAAGAAATTTCCTGACAGAACAATTAAGCATTGGAGCAACTTGCCTCCAAAAGTTGTGAATGCTCCAACACTGGAAGTTTTTAAGAAGATATTAGATAACCATTTGTCTGAAGTGGTGTAGGGTTTCCTGCCTATGCAGGGGGTTGGACTAGAAGACCTCCAAGGTCCCTTCCAACTCTGTTTTATTCTATCCTTGTAATTTTGAAATATTAGTTCTTTCAACAATTATTGCATCCTGTGTATCGAGTCAGTCTTGGAGGAAGACTTATTGGCTTTTTTAAAAATCTCCGGGCAGTAAAATGTGATTTTTTTCTTTTGAAGAATTTATCTTCCCTACGAAGAAATGTGGAAAATTTTCTTCCCAATGTTTTTGTTTACCAAATTTCAAATGTCCAACTGTATTCTGTGCCATTAACAATCATATATTTAAAGATGGAGAAGAAGGAGGGGGGAGGAAAAAGAGAGGAGGAGGAGACAGCCATATCCAAAGAAGCAGAGTTATAAACATTAAGCCATGAACCAATTTGGGGGAATGCTCTAATTACCCAGCTGTCTGAAGCACTGAGCAGACTGACTGTTGATGTGGTAGCTTGATTCTCTTCACTGCCTCCTGAACTTTTCAGTGATGAGAAGTTTTGGAGTATGGAAAGCAGTTGGCTGGATAAATAATAGCCTGGAGATAATACAAGCCCAATGCTTGGTGTGTCTCGTGATACTAGAAAGAACTCATGATGCACAGCTCTGAGCATTGTTCCCATTTCTCAAGTCAATCTGCTCCATTTCATTGCAGTTTGCATATGCCTGTTCCAATTCCACTTTTGTTTAAAAGATTAGTTACATTCATGAAGGGCATTGTCACAGCAAGAGCAAGAGAAGCCAGTAGCTACTAAATGCTGCTGCTGCCCTTTGTGAGAAAGAGAGCCAGGCACACAGCTACAGAAGCTAGGCACAACATCACTGGAAATCACAAGAAGGCTTGCTTTGACTTCTGTGAAATTTTGTTTTTTTTTCTTGCTATCTGCAGATTGCAAAATGAGGGAAGGAGGGATGCCAAGCTTCACTTAATTGAACTATTTTCAACTGGAGCCAGCTCACATCCTATTGGATTGTTGCTTGTATAAGGGGGTGAGATACAGGTACCTTGGTCCATATACCAAACGAAGGACCCATTGGGATCCCCATATCAAAACAACTTACTTTATGTGTGGCCAGTACTTGAAAATAAGATTTAACACAGCACAATACTTAAACAAAATGGGTTGATTGAGATCTGTGTGGGATTGATTGGGGTAGATTGTAACGGTGACACTGAAATATAATTTTATGTTATTTTATTCTATTTTATATATTTATGCATTAAATTGTATTGTATTTTATCCTATAACTATTGTATTTTACCTTACTCTTATTTTAAATTGTTTGTATAAGATTTTATTGTCAATATGTGTTTGAATCTTGTGCTTTGATATGGCCTATAGGCTAATCAATAAAGCTATCATATCAAAGAAACTTGACCAGTTGTAAATCTCTAGACTTTATTTAAACAAAATTGCCCCTTTTCTCCATTGCAGCTATTTAATTTCTCAGAGGAGATAGCAAAAATATGTGTTAAACAATTTTATGTGTTTAACCATAAAACTCATTATCCCCATATTATAGGGGAGCAGTGTCTGGGAATTAGCTTACCTTCTCATGGCTGAGAAAACATTTGGACTAGAAAGTTCCTAAGTAATAGTACTTAGTAAATACTAGTAGTGCAGAACTATTACAGCTCAGTAGAATTCCATACACTGGATACTGTATTTGAAGGCATGTGAGTATTCCCTAGCTTGCCGGTGAAGCTAGACAGTGTTGCAGTTAATTAAAATGGAACCATGGTAACTTCTTAAAAGCATATGTAATTGATGGAAAAAAGAGAGAAGCAAATGCAGCTGCAAATGCTATTAATTTAGCATGTCTTTAGGGCCTCATGGAATCAAAAGAATTTTTTTCAGAAAGAATGAAACAGAGATTTGTAGTAGAATGTTACAATCTAATGAAATTCTAATGATAAAAGGCAAAACTCACAAATGCTGTGTTTGTTGAAAAGAGCTTGTATCTGGGGTCCTGAAGTTCAAGTGTCATATTCCTGAGTCAATATAACCAAATGTGAGGTAAGGGATTATGGGACCTGTGGAATTTGGGAATGCTCATCTAAGATATAAAGTGATTGCAAGTCACCATAGAATGCATTTCAGGCCAACATAGATTAGATAGGTAGAGTGGTTTGTTGATTAAATTTTGTGTCTACTACACAATAGTTGTTTCAGAAAATATCTGCTAGTTTTGTGGACGATAATTCTGAGATTGAACTTGGTTTGCTAAAAGATCAAGAAGCAGAATTGAAAACAAAACAAAACCTGAAGGGAGTGAGTCACTGCTTACAGGTTAACAGTGAATGTCAGTTCAAGAAACTAAAGAATTAAGTGTTCAATCAATTGCAATTGCATCTCAGCACTTTCCTATCCCCAAATTAGGATAAATGCTTGAGTCCCATGTTTGTATCTCTTCCTTTGATTACAACTTTGTTGCATCAGAAAAGACAGGAGAAATACCCTAGATCGGACACTCCCCTGACAAATAGCAATAGGATTGTTGTGTATTGCACTTATTTATAGGCATTTCTCTAGAATGATCTCTGTTGAAAAATAAACAGTGCAAGTTCTCTGTTTAATATTATTCTGAAATATTTTTCACCATCTGCCTTATTTCTAATTTATCAACACTTTTTATTGGATTTCAAGCGGAAAATAAGCTACAGAACTTGAATACCCCATGATAGATGAGGTTTTAATCAAAATAGCAAGTACGCTGTAAATTCATCACAGGTAATAGATTGTTTGCAAATACAGGAAGAGAAAGTACTAAAGTATTAAAAAGACAAAAACAAGCTAAAACCTAAATTAGACTAGGAAACATCTCAGAAGAAAGAAATGGTTAATCTTTTTTGCCAAGAAAGCAACATCGGTGTATTGAATTAAGTACCAGAATCAACTTCAGTTTGTAGATGACTTTAAGATAGAAAATATAATTTCTTATTTATTGACAAGGTTTCTCTTGTGTTGTTCCACATAGGTGCTAGCACTTTTATAAAAATGAGTTTTTAGATTATTGTTAGATTTGGGAAATAACTTGAGCACTAATACTTAACTAAATAAAAACTGCAGAAACTGTTTTAAAGATTTGGGGGGGGGATGTCAGGTTTTGTTCAGTTTACTAGCTGCAATGTTTTGTCACCACCATTTTTCCATCTTGCACACTGTAAATAGAAGTATATCCACAATGACTCTTGTATGAAGCAAAATTACTTATATTGATTTCATTAAATCTAGAAACTGACTCAAATCTCTCTAGACTCCATGGACTAGCATAGAACAGCCAAACAACTGGATACTTACTATACTTCCCATGTTCCATTCTTGTATTTATTTTAATAATTCTAGGCCAATTTTTCTGAACCTGGGCAATTTTAAGGTTGGTGGACTTCAATTCACAGTTTCCCCAGTTCCCCAGTTTTGGGAATAAAAGTCCCCCCATCTTAAAATCACCATGGTTGAGAAACACTGTTCTAGACTATTTTTTACCCGAAAAGAGCCCCAGAACAAAACTGGCTTGCTGGTACCATTATGGAACGTCTTTCAACTTCCCAATCTCATGACAATCCTGGTATTCTGTGAAGGTGTCCTTTCCAGGTATTACTAATGGCCATTCCTACTTCACTTGGGTGTCCAGAAGAGCTATCCACTTGCTGCATCAGCTAAGCAAAACAGAAGGTAACACTTCTGTGAAGAAATAATTTTCTCCCCCTTCAATCCTTACCTCAACCACCCCCATAAACCTATTTATAAATTATTCTCTAATATGCTCCACTAAGAAGCACCTGAAGAATCTTGACATTTAAATGTTAACTAAGTTAGCCACAATACTATTGTTGCTAGCAGACTCCAGGACTTAAGGCGAGACTTTTTCCATTGTTCCTCAAAATGCTAAGGATTAAAAATGCAACCTTCTGAGTCCAAAACATACACTTTACCACTACTCTACAAACTGTCCCCTTAGATGCAATAATTAATCAGGGGGCAGTTAGCTTTCTGATTTTCTTATGTTCTTTCCCTTCATTGATCTCTTCTTCCTGCAATAAGAATTTCCCCTTTTCACAGGTTAGATTTACATAATTGCCTTTCATACTACTTACCTTATGATGACAAACATAACCAGAGAGTTGCCCACCAGGCCTACCACAAAGACTAGAGAATAGACTGCTGTGATGATGATAGGAATAGCTGGGGAGATATTGGTCTGATTCTGTTGCAAGTCCTCATATCCACCTTTGCTGCTGTTGTCAGATTCTTCCCAGTCTGCAAGCCAGCGGTGGCTGGTCCTGCTTGGAAAAGGGCAAAAGCCTGGGGGGCAGGTGGGACCCAGCTCTTCACGAAATATGTACACTGGAGATTCCATGGGGGAATTCTCCTTCCAGCCCTATTGGAAAAGATATGGCAGAAAGAGAGAGAAAGGAATAGATAAATACCTGGAAAGAGACAAGAGACAAGAGAAGAACCAACCCTCTCCCCCCCCAAAAAAAATCCCCACTAAGATTACATTCCTTCAGTCCTGACATCTTTAGTGTGGTGGGAGGCATCATCATCATCTCACGAATATCAGCATTTAATAAAAGAATTGCTCAGTGGCCAAATCAAAAGTATTTAATTTTTTAAAATCTAATCCACTGGAAATTAACGGGACAAAATAGGATTAATCCAAGCTCTGTTTGATGCTGGGTCAAGGAGCCAAACAATAACACATAAAAAGGTCTGATACTTTTAGGGACTTTTAAAATATGAGGTAGCTCCAAAATATTGATAAGTTCTTGAAGATGAAAAAGCTGAGTTTTCTTATCAAAGAAGAAGGGATTCTTTCCTCTTGAAAAATTAAAAAGGTAGAGAAATAAAATAAGTCATAGCATTACCTTAAGTGTAGGAAAACTAGAAGGGTCTCCCAGCAGATATTCTCATCAGTTGAAAAGCCTCCTTTCCCTATTCCTCTGTCCTCTTAGCATTGGAGTATTTTTGCACCAAGAAAGGTTTGCACTTCTGGGAATGCAGAGCAGATGGGATATCAAGCTGGATCGCAAGCTTTCACTCCAAAGCTGCAGGAGCTGTAACTGCAGCAGGCTGCACTTTCCCTTTCTACTAATGCTTCTCTAACACACTTGCCTGTCTTCCCTCGCACTCTATAAGCTCCGTATTCTAGCAGTCCTTGCACACATTCTCTTCCACGCTCACATGACTACTTCCTAAACACCAGAAGGCAGACAAAGTATTAAGTAAGGGCTGAGACAGCCAATCTTACAGCTTCTGGAAGATTATTTTCCCCCACCCTCCACGTTACTTTCTTGCTCTATATCGTAATCATTTCCCAGTGCTGTAGATTTTCAAACAATTGAATCCTTCTCCCCTTGACAGTAAATTAGCTTAGGGTTAAGGCTATGAGCGGCAATGATAAACAGACATCTCCTATAAAGCATATCTGATTGCTCATGACACATATTTAAGCATTCAAGACTGCTCCTTAATTTGCTGGCATTTCACAACACATGCACATATGCACACACCTTTGTTCAATCTATATTAAGAAAGGAAGACAAAATTATCCTTCATCCCAAATATCTCAGAATGGATAATACAGATTAACATTCATATCTGTACATTGAACATACATTAAATAATATTTCTCACTTTCCCTTTTTGTTATAAAGTGTTGTTATATTTTTGTTATAAATTTTAGTATTATAGTGAGCATATGTCAGTAACTATTTACTTTCTAAAGAAATAACATGATGTTTAAAGACCCTATTTATAACATTTGTAATAAATTTCCAAAAATGAAAATTCTGGAGCCAGGAAAGGCTTAGTCAAGTTGATCCTGAGCTACAAAAGCCACAAAAAAGAGAAAACTCTAATTTTGGGTTCCAATTTAGCAAAATGAAATCTCATCTGAAAGTCAGTCTATACTACTGTTTTTAAACTTTGGCAATTTTAAAACGTATGGACTTCAACACCTCAACATATTGGCTGGGGAGTTCTGGGAATTGAAATCAAGACATCTTAAAATTGAGAGATACTGGTCTAAATTGATCACAGCCAACATAATACTAGCATAGAAAATTCAGTGTCCCTTATGGATTCAACCCTGATCCCAGAACCTTTACCATCAGCCCTTCTATTTGCAGAAACAGAGATAATACTGGGTTTATATTCCAAATCTGTATCAGAAAAAAAGGTTCATTTGATATGCCAAAGATTTGTTTTTGTTCAGACCTACTGTTGAGGCGAAAATGCATGAATGAGGTAGTAGGACCCTCTAAAAACTATCTCCGTATGAGTTAGCTCACTGAGGAAACTTCTCACCCAGTTTTGATACCCTAGTTCTGGACCATCTGAGTGTGTGTGTGTGTGTGTGTGTGTAGTATTTGTGCTGATAAATAAATAAAGGGAGACTACACAAATGTAACAAAAGGCAACAGTAAAATATTGGCCTTTCTGTCTGGATGGTCTCTTGTGAAGAGCCAATGGACAGAGAATGGAAGCAGTTAGCTTCCTCCCATAATTGGGGCATACCAGGGGTTGTGACTTTATATATATTGTCTATTAGATAATCTAATAGATACCTTTCACCCTGGCTTCGCTGATAACGGATAAGAGCCTGTGGCCTAATGGCTAAGAAGTCTGCCTAG